CGCCAAAGATCGCAGAGGGGGCGCCAGGCCTCAGATGATTTGAGGCCAAATATCATATTTAGACTTTTTACTTTTTACATATAATTGTAACGCAATACATGATTGTCACTAAAAGCCTTGTCTCTACATTACAATAAAATATATAAAAATAATTGATTAATTAATTTGAATAAAAATTCAAGTTAGTAGCTATTATAGGCATACAAAGACAGAAATGTATAATTCTTTAATAGAAATGTTTCTTCTGCCCGTAAAGTGTCCAAACCAGGCTTTTCTGGATAAGCGCATTTTTAAAACATAGTCATTGTCCATGCCAGTTTCAGATTATTTGTCACAGTTGCTCCGATCAGATTGGTCTCCTCCATTTTGTAGATTATTTACGACTTTTGAATCCACATAAACACATCGGCAAAATCCGGCTTACTTTGAGCATGTGTTTTAAACAGTTTAATCCCTTTGTGAATTGTTTCCACTTGCGCCGTCCTTTAATTTCTTCATACAGCGGGAATCCAAATGAATTAATCCTGAGTCCAATAACCATCAAAGTCACTCCAATAGTGCTCCTTAATTATGCTTTCAGCGATGCTAATGTAAACACCGACCATATTACGTCCAAAACAGTCGGGCATTGTTTCTGATAGCAACTTTCTGATAGTGCCGTGTGTCCGCATTGCCGATATGACGTCAAATCGGACGCAAATTGCCGCTCGAAAGCGCTGGAGACGCTGTAGTACATATGCCAGGCCTGTAAGTGGCGCTGTAATCTGCCACAAAAGCAGCGAAGAAGACTTCCCGCGCATGGTTGCCATGGTTGCCCTTCTGTTTATTCTCCGCTCTGGCTCTTTTTCTCCCTCCCTCGCTGTAATTCTCTCCGGTAGTCCACCAGCAGATGACAAACACCCAGCTCTCCGCCTCTTCCAAGGGACGTGGGGACCGTGCGGCAGAGTTTCAGTTAGATTTTTTTTCGCCGGTCAACATGTCCGTTAAAGTTGAAATCTTCCGGACAAAATTTGAAAAGTGCCGGTCAAAGGTCTTCTTTGTTATTTATTGAGCTTTGCGAAAACAGGGCTGGAAAAGAGCAAATAGAGCGAAATGAGGGATGGCTAAAATGCATGATCTGTTTGGTATTTTGAAAAAAAAACTTCACAGACATGTTTTATATAGGTATGGCCCTTCAATATATTTGTCAAATATAGCATGATAGGTCCACTTTAACATAGACATTTTTCACTTTTTAAATGTGTATTTATTAACTCTCACTTGATAAAAATGGCTGAGTAGACAGTTTCGACGGACAACCTAACATCTCTTGGAAAACAGCAAGATTACTTTTACAAAAGCTAAAAAAAAAGGAAATGTACATTTGTATAGTTGTTTACACTTTAGACTCTATAACAATTCAGAAAAAGAGAAGGAAACCAATAGCAGTCCCATTTTCAAGATGTACTGTCTGATTAAACATTGAAGCACAATCTATGATGAGGTTTAAAGAAGAACTTAAAGGGCCCATGTCATGGCCATTTCCACTGATCATAATTCCATTGTTGAGGTCTACTAAAATAGATTTATATTGTGCATTTTTCCAAACTCACATTGGTTTCTCAAACAGCATCTCTGTAAACTACTTGTATTCACTGAATTTCACTCTCTGCCTTTAACGGCTCGTTGTAGCTCCAATAGCTCCAGCCCCCACCCTCCCTGTGAGCACAGTGTGCTCTGATTGGTCGGGACGTTGTGAATCGCGCTGAGCTCCGTGGAGGTGTTGTTTCCTTGTTAGCGATACACAGCCAAACACAGCCAAACTCATCCTGAGCACACACAAAGTCACAGCCGAAGTAAAACTGCAAAACTGGACAAATCTCTGCCTACATTCACTCAGTATGTGAAATGCCCCACCAGGGGAAATAATACTCTGGATCTTCTATATGCAAATACCAAGAATGCATATTGTGCCACTGCCCTCCCCCCCCTGGGCAGATCTGACCACAACCTCGTCTTTTTGGCTCCTAAATATGTCCCTCTGGTGCAGAGGCAGCCTGTATCCACCAGGACTGTGAGGAAATGGACTCCAGGGGCTAATGAGGCTCTACAGGACTGCTTCGAGACCACTGACTGGGACGTGCTTTGTGTGCCACATGGAGAGGACATCAATAATATGACTGACTGCATCACAGAATACATCAACTTCTGTGAACAAACAATATTACCGGCTAAAACTGTCAACTGTTTCCCCAACAATAAACCCTGGATTACTAGTGACCTGAAAACTCTTTTAAATAAGAAAAAGGAAGCTTTTAAGTCTGGGGACAAATCAATGCTGAAGAGTATCCAGCATCAGCTGAGAGACAATTTGAGGAGGGGCAGAGATTCTTACAGGAAGAAGCTGGAGACTAAGCTCCAGCAGAACAATAGCAGGGATGTCTGGGCTGGGATGAAGGCTATCACTGGCTTCAAAGGGAGAGACAGACTGACTGTGGGCACCCTGGAGAGGGCCAACGAGCTGAACACCTTCTTCAATAGGTTTAGCTCTCCGCCCGCTGCTGTCTCCTCCACTTCCTCTTCTCACCTCACCTCCTCCTCTCAGCCTGGCGTCAACATCCCCCCTCTGCTCACCACCTACACTTCACACCTCTCCTCCACCACCCAGCCTGGCTTCTGCACCCCCCCTCTGCTCACATTGCCGCTGACCCCCCCCCCCCTCTCTGCTCATCTTGCCTCAGACCCCCCCCCCCCCTCTATCCCCCCTGCCATCAAGCCCCCCCCCCCGCTTCACTGTGAGCACAGGACAGGTCCAGAGTCAGATGGAAAAACTCCACCAAGGCAAGGCTGCTGGCCCTGATGGTATCAGCCCCAGGGTCCTGAGGACCTGTGCACGCCAGCTGGCTCCTGTTCTCCAGTATATATTCAACCTGAGCCTGCACCTGGAGACCATCCCGGTGCTGTGGAAGACATCATGCGTTGTTCCGGTCCCTAAAAAGACAACTCCTTCTGGGCTCAATGACTATCGCCCTGTAGCACTCACATCTCATGTGATGAAGGTGCTTGAGAGACTGGTCTTGGCCCATCTCAGACCGCAGGTGAGATCATTCCTTGACCCTCTGCAATTTGCCTACCAGCCTCACCTGGGGGTGGACGATGCCATTATTTACCTGCTGCAGCGTGCTCACTCATACCTGAATGGATCGGGTTGCACTGTGAGAATCACCTTTTTTGATTTCTCCAGTGCATTCAACACGATCCAGCCTCGGCTACTGAGTGACAAGCTGCAGGCTATGAGGGTAAACTCGTCCACCATCTCCTGGATTACTAACTACCTCACGGACAGACCACAGTACGTCCGGCTGGGCAGTGTGCTGTCTGATGTGGTGGTTGGTAGTATTGGAGCCCCACAGGGGACTGTGCTGTCTCCTTTCCTGTTCACCTTATACACCTCTGACTTTCTATACAACTCAGAGTCATGCCATCTGCAGAAGTTTTCGGATGACTCTGCAGTGGTAGGGTGTATAAGGGATGGACGGGAGGAGGAGTACAGAGCGCTGGTGGGTGATTTTGTTGAGTGGACTGGAAGAAATCATCTGCTTTTGAATGTGGCCAAGACCAGAGAGATGGTCATTGATTTCAGGAGGAAGAGGACATCTCCTCCTCTGCCCCTGTGCATTCTGGGAGAGGATGTGGCTGCTGTGGAGGTCTACAAGTACCTGGGAGTGCACTTAGACAATGGGCTGAACTGGAGGATCAACACTGACGCTGTGTACAAGAAGGGGATGAGCCGACTCTATTTTCTGAGGAAGCTGAGATCCTTCAACGTGTGCAGTAAGATGCTGGAGATCTTCTATCAGTCTGTTGTGGCTAGTGCACTCTTCTTTGCTGCAGTCTGCTGGGGGGGCAGCATCAGAGCCGGTGACACCAGCAGGATCAATAAACTGATCAGGAAAGCTGGGTCAGTCATCGGCATCAAGCTGGAACCCTTTGAAGCTGTGGTGGAGAGGAGGACACTGAACAGGCTGTTGTCCATCATGGATAACCCCACCCATCCTCTCCACCTGCAGCTGGACAGTCAGTGGAGCTCCTTCTCCAACAGACTGCTGCAGCTCCCCTGTCACAAGGACAGATACTGGAAAACATTCCTGCCCACTGCAATAACACTGTACAACAAATCACCTCTGGCTGGAAGAGAACTCTCTGCTCCATAGTTTCTCTTGGAATAAAACCACCTTGTACATTTTACTCACACATAATCTGTTTCATATTTAATACTCCATAATTCCATATATTTTGAATATATATATATTTGTATATATATATATATATATAATATCTGTATGTATATTTTCTATTTTGTATTTTGACATGTATATTTTATATTTTATTTTATATTTTATTTTATTTTATTTCTATTCTTGTATATTTTGTTTTATTGTAAAATGCCTTTTATGCTGCTGTAACAAAAACAATTTCCCAGTTTGGGATCAATAAAGTACGATCTATCTATCTATCTATCTAAAAACAATAAGTGTGGCTTGATATTGAGTAAGAAAAAGGTTGATAAACGCTGTGAGAATGGGTCTGCAAAGAGAATTTTGCCACAATCCCAACTGTCTGTTATCAGCCTGCAACCAGGGAGGAGAAATCAGCAGAGCTGCCTGCTCCCTGCACACAGATGTGTGTGTGAGGAAGTCCGTGGATTGGTCTATTTGGACCAATCAGCGGGGGCTTAACGTAACGGCTCCGCGGACGTAACGTAACGGCTCCACGGATTGGTCCATTTCGTTCTGGGTACGGCTTGACATCATGCCGTACCCGGAACGAAATGGAAGAATCAAATGGACAATGACGTATCTCCAACGAGGCGTTTTGGGGAGGTATTTTCTGTGTTAGAGTTTTACTCGCTACAGGGTGTACTTTGAGGGTTTTGACTCTGCACACCGTTTACATGCATAAAAACCTTCATAACACACAAGGGGATGGGTAATAACCGGAAAAGCATGACATGGGCCCTTTAAATATTTTTTAAAAGAGGAAGAAGCAAGTTACAGATATTTATAAAGAATACTTAGAAGAACAGCTGTGAGAAAGAGAATGAGGAACTGGTTTAACCTTCATTAAACAACAAGGAGTCAAATGTAAGCATCATTTTAGAAATACAAAAATAATACATATTTATACAAATACGTATACAAATATTTGGAAAGGCGGAATGAATGGATTAAATATGAGGATCACAATTCAACAATAAGTAAGGCGTTTGAAGAATCAACCTGTGTGTGTGTGATCTAGCATTACTATCCTTGTGGGGACCTAGATCTGTTTATACAGTCACGTGTGGGGACTCGCCTCCCTTATGGGGACATAGGGGAGGGTTTCTTTTTTTCCCCAATTTTACTTTTATCATGACATTTTCACTATAAAATGTATACACATTGAAGGAATGCTGCAAATATGATAAGTAGTTAGAGTGCTAAATGTAAGCTGATGCACATTTCTGTTTACACCCCCACTCTTGCAGTAAAGTGTGTGTATATACTGTTCATTAAAATAAACATTTTACTCCATCTCCTGTACATGTTGTTTCTGACTGCTTTCACTCCTACCTACTGTTACTTAACACCATGAAAACTTGAGGGTAAATGTTTCCTCTTCAATGTTTCACTTCTTTCTGTTTCATCCAGGTGAGTCTCCCTCTGGTTTGATGCATCTAAAATAAATCATGTAAAGTTCTGGTGAGTTATTTCTCAGGAAGTTGTTTTGGGTTTGTTTTCATAAATACAGCTGAGTAAGAGCTTGCTGACCTTCACACCAGGTCCTCCTGCTCCTCTGGTTCTTCTGTCTGTTCTGCAGAGACCATGTTCAGGTCTGAGACGTTCTCATACACAGAAAAAGGATCTATCTGATGGAGAGACAATGAGAGGAGAGTCAGAGGCCATCATTTGAGAGAAATACAATTATATTTGATATTAAACTAAAATTAGGAAACCAAGTAATGTATTTATGATGTGTGACCTCGTTTATTAACAACAGGTAATAATCAATTTCTAGAGTAGGATCTGTCACTGTCTCACCTCCACAGTCTCTATGGGTTCATTTGCTTCAGTGGTGGAGCTCGAAGCCTTCTTCTTCCTGAATTTAATCCAAAAACAAACAGATTTATGAATAAAAGGATCATAAAAATTCATCTTTGAGAGTCAGTACACAGGGGAACATATCAATGATGGATATGATCATGCATTTGCAGAGTTACCTCATCCAGAGAAAGAAAAGGAGCAGAGGAATCAGCACCAGAACCACCAGAACCACCAGAACCAACCTGGTGATGTTCATGATCATTGGGGATTTATCTAGAAATGGAGGTAAACAGTGGTGAGATACTTTACTGTAACATACTGTAACTGGAACCTTCAACAGAAACAAGCCTGTTTGCTATCCTGGATCAATAAATGTTAGAACGAGCTGCCCATCGACACCAGAACAGCAGAGAGGCTACACAACTTGCGTCGTAGACTGAAAACCAAATATGTTTCTACTGCACGATGGTGTTAATATAAAACAAATAAAAAAACTTCCTATTTCTGTATATTCTTAAAATAGTTTGGCTTCTTTGAACCGAGGTTAGACTCTGTGAGGTGTTTGAAAAAGCAACACGTAAAAATCTAAAATGTTGACTTTAGTTAAATGCATTATGTCAACAAACATCACATAACTGTATCAGGTAAATTGAAGGCAATAATATTGCGTTGAAATTCAAAATATTAGGTTCAACTTAATATATTTGGTTCCAACTAACCTAATTCAGTTCTGTGACCTTTTTTGACATAATACATTTAATTAAATTCAACGGTTCAGTTTTTTCCGTGTGCATACAACTCCTAAAATCTCCTGAGGCTGCTCAGTGAATTTTAGCCGATTAATAGCCGAGAAGAGCTGAGGGAAGTTTGTAGTTATGATCAGTAAAATATCCCCCTGTGGATTGAACCTTAGAATGAAGTGTTTCACTCACATTTCACATCAATAAAAAACGTTTCCGATGTCCTCCTTCCCAGCTCGTTCTCAGCTGTACAGAAATACTCTCCAGAGTCAGAGGCCTGCATGGAGCTGAAGACAAACTGTGGTTCTTCATTCAGAATAGAAGAGTATGAAGTTTCATCCTTGTACCAGGTGTAGTTAGCTGCTGGGTTAGCATCACTGCTACAGGACAGAGTCACTGAACTGCCCTTCTCTATCTCAGCAGAGGGACTCACTGACACAGAGGGAAGTGTTGGAGGATCTGGAAGAAAAGGTATAGAAATACAACTATTACTGTATAAGGCAAAATAAAACTAGCTTGTCTTTAGTGCCCCTTACTAGAAGAGGCAGCAAACCTGAACGATAATGACAAAGTGCAAAAGCAGAAGACGTTAAAGAGGCCCTGTTATGCTTTTGGGGTTTTCTCTTTCCTGTAGTGTGTCATATAGATTTTTGTGCATGTAAATGGTCTGCAAAGGCTAAAAACCCTGTACTCTTCCAGAGGGAGTTTCTCTCCCTCAAGGAGAGCGCTAGCGCTCCAACACATTGTACGTGATAGGCTAAAGGGGCGGGACATATCTAAGCGGTTGACCAATCACAACAGATTCGGCCAGCTAACCAATCAGAGCAGACTGGGCTCTGGTTTCAGACAGAGGGTGAAAAGAGATGCTGCAGCACAGGCAGTATGAGAAAAATAAAGAGCTTTTTGAACATTAAAGCATGGAGACATGTCAAAGTAAAGACAGGAAATACAAATATAAACCTGAGAATGAGCATAAAATGTCCTCTTTAAAACCGTGCAGTGAACTCACACACTGGAGGAGAACGGTGATTCTCATGTCCGTTTAAAGCACAGGAATAGATGTCTGCTGAACCAAAGTTGACTAAACGAGAGTAAGATATTCCTGTCCAAAGTTTCTCTCCATTCTTGTACCAGATGTAGGAAGTATTATCAGGTACATGACAGCTGGTCTGACACTTCAGCTCTGCATGGTCTGAATACGCTCTGCTCACCTTCAACTGGAGATCTGGATTTGTGAAGAAGAAACAGGAACACAACTCTCAACATACGTGCAAAGACCACACTCTCAACATACGTGCAAAAATCACTAAACATTTGGAAATATAAAACATGAGTGTTACCTGTGACAGACAAAGTGACTCCAGGTGAACCAATATATGATCCACCTTTTTGGATGATTATCCTGAACCAGTACTCAACTGAGTCGCTCTCTGTCAGGTTTTTGATTCTCAGAGTGCAGATGTTGTTTTCACAGCGATCCTCTACACGACCTACATACTCTGAGTCTGTTTTCAGATCTACAAGTTCACCATCTTCCTTTTTAGTAAACCAGAACGTTTTCTCAACTATGGTAAACCACACTTTGAATGGGTATGTGTAGGTGCATCTCATTTCCACTGTTGATCCTTTTACTGCACAGGTCTCAGTAGAAGAGTAAGTCACTCCCCAGTCATCCTGACCCTGAACCACTGTAACACAGAGCACATCAGAAACTATAATCAGACTCATATCAACATCAGGAGACACATTTCCATTGGTGAAGCTGCTTAGTCCACATTTCTCACAACTACATATTCTCCCACGCCATCAAAGTAAAATAATGTTTTAGCGCCAAGCTTTTGGATAAAAACGATGACTGTTTTACTGCAGATTTATATTATTTTACATTACATTACATTACATTGCATTTAGCTGACGCTTTTATCCAAAGCGACTTACAATAAGTGCATTCGACCAAGAAGATACAAACTTGAAGAAAACAGAATCTTATAAGTACATCAGGTTTCATAGAGCCAAAACATTTCAAGTGCTACTCAACTTTAGATAAGCCAGTCCTTTGTTAGTATATAAGTGTTTTGTTAGTAATTTTATTGCTCGAAGTGGAGTCGAAAGAGATGAGTTTTTAGTCTGCGCCGGAAGATGTGTAAGCTTTCTGCTGTCCTGATGTCAATGGGGAGCTCATTCCACCATTTTGGAGCCAGAATAGCAAACCGACATGTTTTTGCTGATGGGAACTTGGGTCCCCCTCGTAGTGCGGGTGCAGCGAGCCGTTTGGCTGATGCAGAGCGGAGTGCACGTGCTGGGGTGTATAGTTTAACCATGTCCTGGATGTAGGAAGGGCCAGATCCATTCACAGCATGGTACACTAGTACCAGTGTCTTGAAGTGGATTCTAGCAGTTACTGGAAGCCAGTGAAGCGAGCGGAGGAGCGGTGTGGTGTGGGAGAATTTAGGAAGGTTGAAGACCAGACGAGCCGCTGCATTCTGGATGAGCTGCAGAGGTCGGATGGCACATGCAGGTAGACCATCCAGGAGGGAGTTGCAGTAGTCTAGGCATGAGATGACGAGAGCCTGGACCAGAAGTTGCGTCGCTTTTTGGGTCAGGAGGGGACGTATCCTCCTGATGTTGTAAAGAGTGTATCTGCAGCAGCGGGTTGTTGCAGCGATGTTTGCGGTGAAGGACAGGTTGTTATCTAGGGTCACACCCAGATTCCTTGCAGTCTGAGTCGGGGAAACAACAGAGGGGCCGATGTTGATTGTTAGGTCAAGAGTGGGACACTCTTTTCCCAGAAGAAAAAGCAGCTCAGTCTTGTCAAGGTTGAGCTTGAGGTGGTGAGCAGACATCCACCGAGAGATGTCTGCTAGACAAGCAGAAATGCGTGCGACGACCTGAGTCTCTGAGCGGGGAAAAGACAGAATTAATTGGGTGTCGTCAGCGTAGCAATGGTATGAAAAACCATGCGGGCTAATGACCGATCCGAGCGAGTTTGTGTACAGAGAGAAGAGGAGGGGACCAAGGACAGAGCCCTGAGGGACCCCTGTAGTTAATTGACAAGGGTTTGACTCAGACCCTCTCCAAGTTACCCTGTAGGTGCGGTCTTCGAGGTATGAGGTGAGGAAGGAAAGTGCAGAGCCTGAAACACCAAGTTCTTGGAGAGTGCGAAGGGGGATCTGATGGTTCACTGTGTCGAATGCAGCAGACAGGTCCAAAAGGATGATGACAGAGGAGAGGGAGGCTGCTTTAGCAGTGTGCAGTTCCTCAGAGACAGCAAGGAGAGCAGTTTATGTGGAGTGACCCGCCTTTAAACCAGACTGGTGCGGATCCAGAAGGTTGTTCTGATGGAGATAACAGGAGAGTTGTTTAAAGACAGCGCGTTCAAGTGTTTTAGACAGGAACGGGAGCAGAGAGACAGGCCTGTAGTTTATAACATCGGACGGGTTGAGAGTGGGTTTCTTTAGGAGAGGGTTTACTCTTGCCTCCTTGAGACTGTTTGGAAAGTGACCAGAAGTTAGAGAAGTATTGATGAAATGGGTGAGAAACGGTAGAATATCAGGAGCGATAGTTTGAAGGTTTGATGGGATAGGGTCCAGAGGACAGGTGGTAGGACGGGCAGAGGTAATGAGGGTAAGGGAAAAGGAGGTTAGTGTGTGGGTGAACGGTGGGTCTGGTGACCCAGTGGTGAGTAATGGTGAGTCGGAAAAAGAAGAGCGAATATCATCAACCTTTTTTTCAAAGTAGTTAACGAAGTCGCTTAGAAAATATTTTTTTGGGATTGGAATAGGAAGAATGGATCTTATCTTGAAAGAAAGTGCTTTTTGCCTGAGAGATCGAAGAAGAGAAAGAGGAGAGGAGAGCTTAATAGGTTAGGACAGGGGTCGGCAACCCGCGGCTCTCGAGCCGCATGCGGCTCTTTAAGCCCTCTACTCTGGCTCCCTTGAGCTTAGACAAAAATAAGAAGGAAATAAAATAAAAATATTTGTAGGACTTTTTATATTTTGTTGCATGGTTGAAAATGTTTCGTATCTTGTATTTTGAGGTGATACTGTGACACATAAAACATTTTAAAAAACGGTTTTAATTAGGTCAACTAAAATATGCGTCATATCCTGCTACGGTCCCGCACCAGCGCCTTTTCTTGCAGGCGAATAACCTGACCCCCGGCTCAATGAGCGAACTATGGATAAATCAAAGAAAAGTATCAGAGGAACACAGAGGGTTTAACCTCTTAAGCCCTGAGCCTGTTTTTCAGGTCTCAGGCTCGAAAATGACATTCCCAGAACAAATGACCATATCTTCCCTTCTAAAAGGGTTAAATTAATAATCTTTATTCTCAAAGTAATGATAAACCTGTGAGTTGGATGTAGAAAAGTCAGAATCAATATAGATGTTTTTTATTTTAAAGAAAATTCAGATTTTACATAGTAAAAAACTGTAAATTATAGTGTCCGTCCAAATATTATTTTTTACTTATAGTGAAAACTACCCTTGGATGATGGGTTAGTAGACTAAAAGCTTTAGGAATCCAAAGTACAACATATAATAAGTACCCTGTATCAAGATTGATGCAAAACAAGTGAAATTTGACCTTTTTAGAGAGATTTAGGCCCCGGCCCCACGGGAACGCATACGGCAAAACGCATAGGATTAATACACACGGATATACACCGGATAGTGTCTGCCCACACGAGACAGCTCCGTTTAGATCCAACCGCTGGAAAAGCTGCAGTACATATGCCGAGCCTGTACGTGGCACTGTAACTTCCTCCACAAAAGCAGCAACTTCCTCCACAAAAGCAGCGAAGAAGAATGGTTGTCATGGCTGCACTTCTGTTTATTCTCCTTGGTGGGGGCCGGGCGAACCGGGCAGAGTTTTTCGCCGGTCAACGTGTGTTAAAGTTTAAATCTTCCGGACAAAATTATAAAAGTGCCGGTCAAAGGTCTTCTTTGTTATTTATTGAGCTTTAAAACAAATGAATAACGACTCTATATAATGATATATAATAATAAAATACACGGAGCCTGTCTCTTTTTCCTCTCTTCTGACAGCGTCAGTGTCTGTCTCATGCAGCAGCTGATCCAGGAAGTAAACCCGACAGTAAAAATAAACATATTTATAACTAGTTTAGGTAGTTTGAGAGGTAATTAAAATAGCTAAGGGTGATGATCTGACTTGAAGTGTGTGTTTTGCTCCCGCTGCATCACAGCGGGAGGAGCTGCGTGTCTCCGTCCTGTCAGATTAGACTTCACTCGCGTTTATGTCCATATCGAGATAAAGATAAATAATCTGAATTCAGTGTGCAGTGTACTTTTGCAGGGGTGAGCAGCAGAGGTGGGGAGAGGCGGGGCTATTGCGTCGTCATTATCAGAAAAGGATGACCGTATAGGCTACCACACGGCCCCGTTGGACCCCCCAGAGCGCTCCGTTCCCAGATCTATCCACCTTTGGACCCGTTGTCGTTTGCACGATAAGTAATAAGGGTATTTTTATCTTGAATTGTGTGCCGCAGTGCGTTAGAATTTTTTCGCTCAGGGGTCATTTAGACGCTTCTTATGAGACTTGTGTTTTGTTTTGGTAAAAATGGTTCATATCTTCAGTTAGCTGAGATTCTTCCCGTTAATCTGGTGCTACACATTAATAGTTTCATAAATGTTAAGAAGCCCTGAGACATTATCTCGAAAAAAAAACGGTGGGAGGGGTCCAATGGGGGGACCGCCGTGCTTAAGAGGTTAATTCTGCGTGGTTAGAGTTATCTGCTTTCACAGCAAACGATGCTGGCTTACCGGGATGTTTGATATGTGGAGAGAAGTTGTCAAAGGTGATGCAGCCTTTACGTATTGGAGGAAAAACACGGAAGAGGAAGACAGCTGACGATCTTCAGTCATAATTCAATCAGTTAACTCTTTTTAGGGTGCAGCTATATGTTTTATTTATTGCAAAAATGGGCCCATTTTAATTATATTTATTTTCTTCAAATGTGCAGAGGACTCCCCAAGTGCTGTGTTGATTTATTTTAAAGTTGGCCTGTGTATTTTTTTTTTATTCTCCTTATAAGAGTTCTTTGTTTATTATTAGAGGTTAACAGTTTTCTATAATGTAATAAATACTAAATCCAAAAAAACTATAGTTTTTGTCTATGATGTAACTACTGTATAAGCTATCAAGCTATCAAATATGTTTTGCGGCTCCAGACAAAAGAGATTGGTGGAAAAGGGGGCAAAATGGCTCATTTGGTCAAAAAGGTTGCAGACCCCTGGGTTAGGACAACACACTCTCACTCCATAAACGTCCAGGAGCGACGCTTGGTCAGGGTCCCGAGGCGTGCAGTTGTGACGCTCCTAGGCTCCTTCAGCTTCATAAACAGACGCAAATAGCTTTCAACTGATTGCAATGTATTCCCATCTGCGGTGGGATTTGACGCTCATGGAAGCACGGCATTCGTTTGTGTCGGAGGCTGTTAAAGGCAATGTGAGCGTCCATTCCCATTGGATAACGGAGAATTGTACACCCGGAAGTAAGTATTCCCCTTACTGTCGATTGATTTGACAGTGATATCTCCACTACTCATCAACTCAAAAACACCAGATTATCCTTGTTAATTAAACGACATTGATAGGATTTAGTGTGTGTACATTGCTTTTGTCACGTTTTCCCCTCCAATTCTGAGAAACAAGTAGTTTTCTATGAGTTTTGGATGGCCGAAGACATTACATTACCCACAATCCTCTGTAGCAACCATAGACTGTATATTGCAACAGGCAACAGCTTCGGTTCATGTTAATTTACAAACTCTTCAACTACAACCGTAGTTATATTTAAAAACATGTTAGAAGGCCTCACAAAATACTTTAATGTAAATTTAAATTTAAATGTGAAGGAATGTGTGTATATTAACTGTAGGTTTTTCTCTGGAAGTGTTTCCTTGTACGATGTGAGGGTCAAAGGACAGATGATGCCGTTTTTCTCATACTGATATTCCGCTATGCACGCTGGGATTTGGTGTTTATGCGATGTGAAATCCGAAAACATTTAAAGAAAATTAAATAATACATTATTCCGAGTGTGCTTGCTTTTCTCTTTGAAAGTCATCACATAACGGCATTGTAATACACGTTTCGGCTGCATTAAATATTACATATCTGCCGTAGTTAACTCTATTTATAGAGCCCTGATGAGAACACTTCTAGACAAACAGGAACTGCCTCCAAAACTGAAAACTTGACGTGGATCTTAAATATATAAGCAATTAAACAACATCTTACATTTCTTTTCACACAATACGTCTCCTTGCAGTATCAACACTAATTCGGCTGACTTTTATATTTGATCCAATTGGTAGATAGGCTGTATTTACGCCATAACGGTGCACAGCTGATAGAAAGGGACACCTACTGGTTAAAGCACGTTATTGCATTTTATAATTTTATTATTAGCTTGATTCAAGCCACACTTATTGTTTTTACTTCGGCTGTGAGTGTTTGTGTGTGCTCAGGATGAATTTCGCTTGTTCTCACTGTATTGCCGAGAGGCTCGTTGCTGCGGTCTGCTCCGCTGCTCGCAGCAGATCGCAGCAACGAGGAGCAGCAACGAGGAGCAGCAACAAGGAGCAGCAACGAGCCTCTCAACGAGCCTCTCAACGAGCCTCTCAACGTGCCGACCAATCAGAGCACACTGGGCTCACAGGGAGGGGGGGGGCAGGAGCTCCAACAAGCCGTTTAGGACAGAGAGTGAATACCGGTGAATACACATACTTTACAGAGATGCTGTATGAGAAACCAATGTGAGTTTGGAAAATTGCACAGTATAAATCTATTTTAGTAGATCTCAACAATGGAATTATGATCAGTAGAAATGGCCATGACATGGGATCTTTAACTGAAAATAAACTTTATTCAAGGAAATTGGATAAATGCAAAACCGACAAGTACTCTCATGCCCTCTAATCGCAAAAAGAACCCACCAATCCCAGAACTTAAATACATACATGACCAATCAAGAGACAAGACACAGCTGGGGAGCAGCTGGGGACAATACTTGTGCACCGATTCTTTTCATAAACTTAGCTTCTTCTGCATTTCTGAGGTGCATTCACTGCCTTAAAATATAAAGAGGTGTACAGTACCTTGTGTAGAGAGAAGGAACACTACAAATCCTCTCGCTGGTAAACTCATAGCTGCTCCTCGCGTCTCTGATGATAAATCAGTTAGATCATATACTGGAGAAATAGGACGTTTGCTCTGTTAATATGTCAATGTGCTAAAAAACTGGGTTTCCTTCCTCTTTATAGTTTGAAAACAGGGATGCTTAAAATAAGGCTTTTGGTTAGAATGAAGAACTTATTCCTGCTATGGTTTTGCAAACGATGCATTTTTCTTTTGGATAAAAATGGGTGACTCACAATTCAACATTGCAATCCCTGAAACCCCACAGATCCTAAAAACAGGAACGAACACAGTTCATGGTGGTTTTGTTGTGAACATCATCATTAATGTTAGATTTGCTCTTCACCTGTAGGATTATGGTATGACGTGCAGGGTGTGCACAGATCTCAGTAGAAGTGTGACTAACCAACCGGTCTTTCTGATGCTTGAGCAGAAACTCTTATTAAATCGTGTTTTTTCAAAGATGTACCCCTGCCCTCTACAGTTCATATCTTTGAATGCACTGTGATGGAAATGTCCGGATGTGTGTGAGAAATCCTGTGTTTTAATCATTTGCAAATAACAAACTGCTGGTGTCTTATAAGTATATTCAGCCAAGCTTAACATAGAAATTTTTCACTTTTAAAATGTGTATTTATTAACTCTCTCAATTGGAAAACAGCAAGATCACTTTTCCAAAAGCTAAAAATGATTCAAATTAAGCTCAGGTACATTTGTATAGTTGTTTACACTTTAGACTCTATAACAATTCAGAAAATGAGAAGGAAACCAATAGCAGTCCCATGTTCAATATGTACTGTCTGATTAAACATTGAAGCACAATCTATGATGAGGTTTAAAGAAGAACTTAAACATTTTTTTAAAAGAGGAAGAAGACATGTTACAGATATGTATAAAGGATACTTAGAAGAACAGCTGTGAGAAAGAGAATGAGGAACTGGTTTAACCTTCATTTAACAACAAGGAGTCAAATGCAAGCATCATTTTAGAAATACAAAAATAACACATATCTATACGTATATACATATTTGGAAAGGTGGAATGAATGGATTAATATGAGGATCAAAATTCAACAATAAGTAAGGCGTTTGAAGAATCAACCTGTGTGTGTGTGTGACCTAGCATTACTATCCTTGTGGGGACCTACATCTGTTTACAGACTCACGTGTGGGGACTCGCCTCCCTTATGGGGACATAAGTGCAAATACTGTCTTTCTTTCTTTTTTTCCCCAATTTTACTTTTATCCTGACATTTTCATTATAAAATATATACACACTGAAGGAATGCTGAACATATGATAAGTAGTTAGGATGCTAAATGTAAGCTGATGCACATTTCTGTTTACACCCCCACTCTTCCAGTAAAGTGTGTGTATATACTTTACATTAAAATACACATTTTACTCCATCTCCTGCTACATGTTGTTTCTGACTGCTTTTACTCCTACCTACTGTTACTTAACACCATGAACACTTGAGGGTAAATGTTTCCTCTTCAATGTTTCACTTTTTTCTGTTTCATCATGGTGAGTCTCCCTCTGGTTTGATGCATCTAAAATAAATCATGTAAAGTTCTGGTGAGTTATTTCTCAGGAAGTTGTTTAGGGTTTGTTTTCATAAATACAGCTGATTGAGAGCTTGCTGACCTTCACACCAGGTCCTCCTGCTCCTCTGGTTTTTCTGTCTGTTCTGCAGAGACCATGTTCAGGTCTGAGACGTTCTCATACACAGAAAAATGATCTATCTGATGGAGAGACAACGAGAGTAGAGTCAGAGGCCATCAATTGAGAAAAATACAATTATATTTGATAATAAACTAAAATTAGGAAACAAAGTAATGTATTTATGATGTGTGACCTCGTTTATTAACAACAGGTAATAACCAGTTTCTTGAGTAGGATCTGTCAATGTGGAAATACACATGGGTAGTTCCATTAAGAAAGTAATTAGTAAGGTAAATGAACATTTTCAAGATGACCCTATTTAACAACAGGTAATAACCAGTTGCTAGAGTACGATCTGTCACTGTCTCACCTCCACAGTCTCTATGGGCTCATTCGCTTCAGTGGAAGAGCTCGAAGCCTTCTTCTTCCTGAATTTAATCCAAAAACAAACAGATTTATAAATATGAGAGTCAGTACCAGAGATGGGGTCTGTATTTTGCGCAGTATATCTCTGAACGATGCGATGGTGATTCCACTGTGCAAATGGGCAACATTTCCTCTACTATGAAGGATGCTACAAGCCTGTCCATCTCTGCTTTGGTTACCGGTCCTCCAAATTCTAATTTTTGCTGCTTCGGAGTCGGCAGCGGCGACTCACAACATCCTCACTCTGGGTTCGGGGGTCCTTAGCTATTAGCTTCACCTTAGCATGTGTTCTTTGCAGGTGTTTGTTGAGGTTTGACGTGGTGTTTGCAGCAGTGGATAGCAGCTTCTGGCCTGGACATAGTTTGCACCTCACCGTCACATTCCTGTCTATTCTTCGGACGAACTCAAAATAATGGGCATACCTCCACCCCTCGAAAGTTATGGCTGACTCAGCCATGTTTATGCAGCACTGAACGTGGAGATGTGGACGTCGCGCATATTACGTACATATAAACCTGCGGCGGAAACCCCTCTTGTCTGTCAGTGTGATTATGACTGATTTTATAAAAGTAACGAAGTAACGCGTGTCGGGGCAATGTTAGTAACTGTAGTGTGATTACTGAATTATAAAACTAACGCGTTACACTACTCCGTTACCGACAAAAGTAATATTATTACAGTAATGCGTTACTTTGTAACACGTTACACCCAACTCTGGTCAGTACACAGGGGAACATATCAATGCTGGATATGATTATGTATTTAAAGAGTTACCTCATCCAGAGACAGACAAGGAGCAGAGGAATCAGCACCAGAACCCCCAGAACCAACCTGGTGATGTTCATGATCATTGGGGATTTATCTAGAAATGGAGGTAAACAGTTGTGAGATACTTTACTGTAATATACTTTAACTGGAACCTTGAACACAAACAAGCCTGTTTGCTATCGTGGATCAATAAATGGTAGAACGAGCTGCCCATCGACACCAGAACAGCAGAAAGGTTACACAACTTGCGTCTCAGACTGAAAACCAAATCTCTTTCGACTGCACGATAGCATTAATATAAAACAAATGTATATATATAAAAACGTCCTATTTCTGTATATTCTTAAAATAGTTTGGCTTCTTTGAACCGAGATTAGACTGTTTGAGGAGTTTGAAAAAGCAACACTTAAAAAACTAAAATGTTGACCGTAGTCACTTTCGTTGATGCTGTATGATGTTCTGTTTATGTTTTTATGTTTCATGTGGAACCTACTTGAGCAGGTCTCCCTCGAAAAAGAGATCAATGATCTCAATGGGATACACCTGGATAAATAAAGGTTTGAAATGAAATGAGTTAAATGTACTGTGTCAACAAACATCACATAACTGTATCAGGATAACTGAATGCAATAATATTACGTTGAAATTCAAAATATTAGGTTCAACTTAATATATTTGGTTCCAACTGACCTATTACAGTTATGTGACCGTTGTTGACATAATACATTTAATTAAATTCAAAGTTTGAGTTTTTTCCGTGGGCATACAACTCCTAAAATCTCCTGAGGCTGCTCATTGAATTTTATCCGACTAATAGCCGAGAATAGCTGAGGGAAGTTTGTAGTTATGATCAGTAAAATATCCCCCTGTAGATTGAACATTAGAATGAAGTGTTTCACTCACATTTCACATCAATAAAAAACTTTTCCGATGTCCTCCGTCCCAGCTTGTTCTCAGCTGAACAGAAATACTCTCCAGAGTCAGAGGCCTGCATGGAGCTGAAGACAAGCTGTGGTTCTTCATTCAGAATAGAAGAGTAGGAAGTTTCATTCTTGTACCAGGTGTAGTTAGCTGCTGGGTTAGCATCACTGCTACAGGTCAGAGTCACTGAACTGCCCTCCTCTATCTCAGCAGAGGGACTCACTGACACAGAGGGAAGCTTTGGAGCATCTGGAGGAAAAGTGATAACAAAACTCAATCATAAAATAATAGAGCTGAAAAAGTAGTAATGATCAGTACAACCTTCCCATGCCATATATGAACAGATTTCACCTTTAAATAAGTTGTTTGACTCACATTTAACGTCAATAAAGTAATTTCCAGATGTCTTCCTCCCCAGCTCGTTCTCAGCTGAACAGAAATACTGTCCAGAGTCAGAGGAATTGATAGAGCTGAAGACAATCTGATCTTCTTCACTGGAATATATTAAGGCATTCCTTGTGTACCAGGTGTAGTTAGCTGCTGGGTTAGCATCACTGCTACAGGTCAGAGTCACTGAACTGCCCTCATCTATCTCAGCAGAGGGACTCACTGACACAGAGGGAAGCTTTGGAGCATCTGGAAGAAAAGGTGTAGAAATACAACTGTTACTGTAAAGGCAAAATCAAACTAGCTTGTCTTTAGTGCCCCTTACTAGAAGAGGCAGCAAACATTAACGATAATGACAAATTGCAAAAGCAGAAGAGGTTTAAAGAGGCCCTGTTATGCTTTTGGGGTTTTCTCTTTCCTGAAGTGTGTCATATAGATTTTTGTGCATGTAAATGGTCTGCAAAGGCTAAAATCCCTGTGTTCCTCCAGAGGGAGTTTCTCTCCCTCAAGGAGAGCGCTAGCACTCCAACACATTGTACATGATAGGCTAAGAAGCGGGATACCTCTAAGCAGTTGACCAATCACAACAGAGCCGGCCAGCTAACCAATCAGAGCAGACTGGGCTCTGGTTTCAGACAGAGGGTGAAAAGAGGTGCTGCAGCACAGGCAGTATGAGAAAAATAAAGAGCTTTTTGAACATTAAAGCATGGAGACATGTCAAAGTAAAGACAGGAAATGCAAATATAAACCTGAGAATGAGCATAAAATGTCCTCTTTAAAACAGTGCAGTGAACTCACACACTGAAGGAGAACGGTGATTCTCATGTCCGTTTAAAGCACAGGAATAGATGTCTGCTGAACCAAAGTTGACTAAACGAGAGTAAGATACTCCTGTCCGAAGTTCCTCTCCATTATTGTACCAGATGTAGGAATTATCAGATGCCCGACAGCTGGTCTGACACTTCAGCTCTGCCTGGCCTGAATACGCTCTGCTCACCTTCAACTGGAGATCTGGATTTGTGAAGAAGAAACAGGAACAAAACTCTCAACATGAGTGCAAAAACCACACCGCACAATTATATTATTTTGAGCTACTGAACATTTGGAAATATAAAACATGAGTGTTACCTGTGACAGACAAAGTGACTCCAGGTTCACCAAAAAACTTATCATAGTTTGTTGTGAACCTGAACTTGTACTCAGCTGAGTCGCTCTCTCTCAGGTTTTTGATTCTCAGAGTGCAGATGTTGTTTTCACAGAGTTCCTCTACACGACCTGCATACTCTGAGACTGTGGTCAGATCTACAGGTTCACCATCTTTCTGTTTAGTAAACCAGAATGTTTTCTCAACTGTGTAAACTCTGCCTCCCCATGGAGATGGGTATGTGAAGCTGCATCTTATTTCCACTGATGATCCTTTCACTGCACAGATCTCAGAAGAAGAGTAAGTCACTCCCCAGTCATCCATACCCTGAACCACTGAAACACAGAGCACATCAGAAACTATAATCAGACTCATATCAACATCAGGAGACACATTTTCATTGGTGAAGCTGCTTAGTCCACATTTCTCACAGCTACATATTCTCCAACGCCATCTAAGTAAAATAATGTTATAACGTCAACCTTTTGTAGGGTAAAAACTATGACTGTTTTATTGCAGTTTTATATTATTTCTATCTTTTTGCCTTCATTGGATGGACCCCCTTTTTGTACATGGCTTTCTCTAACAGGTGAGCTACATGAGTGCCCCCTGTTGTTTTATTTGACTAAACTAGGCTTAGGCTTGAGGTTGAATTGTCATAAGAAATCAGGTCCTGTTGTTAAGGTTGAGCAGCGCAGGGTGGACCCAAGTGCAGACAGACAAATGTTTTATCTGAAAACAAACTTTATTCAGGGCAACTGGATAAATGCAAAACCGACAAGTACTCTCATTCCCTCTAATCGCAAAAAGAACCCACCAAACCAGAACTTAAATACATACATGACCAATCAAGATGACAAGACACAGCTGGGGACAATACTTGTGCACCATCAAAATGTTGAAGATTTAGATTTTTTTCAAAAACTTAGCATCTTCTGCATTTCTGAGGTGCATTCACTGCCTTCAAATATAAAGAGATGTACAGTACCTTGTGTAGAGAGAAGGAAGACGACAAATCCTCTCGCTGGTAAACTCATAGTTGTTCCTCTCATCTCTGATAAATCAGGTATCACATACAGAAGAAATAGGATGGTTCCTCTGTTACTATGTCAATGTGCTAAAAAACTGCAGGGGTTCCCTTCCTCTTTTCAGTTTGAAAATAGAGATGCATAAAATAAGTCTTTAGGTTAAAATTAAGAACTTATTCCTGCTATGGTTTTGCAAACAATGCATTCAAACAGCTGCACATGGGCGTCCTTAAAGCCACAATGTGTGTAAAAACAGGAACGAACAAAGTGCATGGTGGTGTTGTTGTGAAAACTCATCATTAATGTTAGTGTTAGAGCCAGTATTTTATAAAAAAAAGGCACCTAATCGTGACGTCTGTAGTCAAAACAGTATAAAAGACTACAACTCCCACGGTGCCTCCTCTAAAGTGACAGAGAACAGTTTTTAACCGTTCAACTACCCTTTAAGTTACAAAGTGATACCAGCCTTAACAAAGAAAGAAAGCAAGAAAGAATACATACGTTTTTTATTATTTTATTTAAGTTTTGCCTCTTTTGCTTTGACTATTGTAAAGGCCTGTTTTCTTTGTGTGAAAAGTGTGTTATTTTATTTTGAGCATTGCACAATATCATCCCACCATCGGAGGCCAAGCAACTCTTCAACTGTGAGTAACACAAGTATAAAGGAAAGGAAAGGAGTTAGAAATGTCTGTTTAAGGCGTCTAGTGGCTTGATAGAAAATAAGGAAGGAAGCCACGGCAGTTCGATTTGCTCTTCATCCGATTTGCTTTACCAGAAACTCTTATTAAATCGTATTTTTTCAAAGATGTACCCCTGCCCTCTACAGTTCATATTCTTTAATGCGCTGTGATGGAAATGTCCAGATGTCTGTGAGAAATCCTGTGTTTTAAATCCAAGCTTTACATAGACATTTTTCACTTTTTTAATTGGTATTTAATAACTCTCTCTTGATAACAATAGCACAGTACACAGTTACATTACAGAAGGACAACCTAACATATTGGTCTCATGGAAAACAGCAAGATTACTTTTCCAAAAGCTAAAAAAAAGGATTACAATTAAGCTCAGTTACATTTGTATAGTTGTTTACACTTTAGAGTCTATAACAATTTTTTTTAAAAGAGAAGGAAACGAATAGCAGTCCCATTTTCAAGATGTACTGTCTGATTAAACATTGAAGCACAATCTATGATGAGGTTTAAAGAAGAACTTAAACATGTTTTTAAAGAGGAAAAAGCAAGTTACATATATGTATAAAGGATACTAAGAAGAACAGCTGTGAGAAAGAGAATGAGGAACTGGTTTAACCTTCATTTAACAACCAACCCGGTATCACGGCAAGACGTGAACATGTGACGATCTACCATGCTGGGAGACGTGAATATATCACGGTTTCGTCCCTTCAAACGTGACAGTTACACGGTATTGTTAACATGGCCCAAACAGTGGAGAAATACCCGGAAGTGCCAAGCAAATGGTCTACCGCGCCTATTGGTCGGTTTTTATTGTCAAAATTAGATGTTTTTAATTTATTTTTTAATCATCACACTTGATTTCGCCGATTTTCTTGTTGCCCTAGCTGGTCGACACCTCTTTTAGCAGAAACAAAGGCTACATTAATGTATTAAATCGATGTTAATCCATGTGTGTGGAGGTGAGGATGTGGAATTAACGGACGTGACGTTGTGCGATTGCGTTGCCAGGCAACCCAATTTACAAACTCTTCAACTACAACCCTAATTATATTTTAAAACATTTTAGAAGGCCTCACGAAATACTTTAATGTAAATTAAAATGTAAATGTGAAGGGGTGTGTGTAATGTGGTGATTGACATTATTCACCCACGGATCTATGGGTTGGGGGTATTGTTCCGCACGGACATTTTAGTTAAACGGACTTACTGTTGATGTGAAATCCGAAAAAAAATACGTTATACACCATAACGGTGCACAGCTGATATAAAAGGACTTGTCGTTTTTAAAGATATTACTGATTTTCTTTGAATATAAGAATGTAAATACTGAGTTGAGAGAATAGTCAGGGGATTTGGGTGATGGGAGACACATCTATGGATTCAGAATTTCAATAGCTTACTGTTAAATGACAGATATACCTTTCTGTCTGTTATGTTTTACAAATCAGATATTATAAGTAAAACATGTGAAATAATATAGCAATATCCTGTACAATTATGTGAAAACATGAATAAAACTACACATCTTCAGATATTATACATACACAAGTGTCCTACACTAATAATACAAAGTTATTATGGCTGTGTGCACCGCCTAGTGGTTAAAGCACGTTATTGAATTAGTTGTGTATATGATATATCAATGATCCTTAGAAAATCTTGAAATCTTGAAAGGGATATGCAAAATAGCCATTATATACAGTCTTTAATGAACTATTAGTAGAGAATAACGAGTAATGAATATACTTTATAGGGATCTGCAGATAAATGTTTAGTCTTCTCAAGCAGCAACTATCAAATATCTCTCCTG